AAAAAAAAAAACACATCTTAGTAAAACCAATACCTTCTCAGCTTCGCATCGAAGCTAAAAGAAACAAATTAAAGATAAGATTTATCAAAAAAATTTTCATAGAGTATACTCTATCGAATTTTGTAATCAACTAGATTCTAATCAATGCAGATACTTCGTAGTTTGTTATCATTTGTTGGACCAGAGTAAAAAAAAATTTACCTACAACCACGTTTAGAGTAATTGCTATTCCAACGTCTAGAACGTTATCTTTTTCAAATAACGTTTTCTATGAATATAAAAATGAAAATACAGCCATAATAATAACTGTATTACTCAATAGTAATCACAAATTAATAATAATTTCAATGTATGTAAGGCCTAGTACGTTTTTGATAATTCGTAAAAATAATTGAATTTAATTTTGGGGGGGCCGGCCCTGGGCTACATTAAATCTAAGGGGGGCCAGGCCCACCCAGGCCCACCCTTGTCTACGTGCCTGTACGAATGAGCAAAAGTGTAAACGAACGGTAAAACAACGGTTCTATTGTAAGAGGCTAAAAAATGTTGTGTGTATGTACGTGAAATCATGTAATATTTACGCGTGCTTTAATTAAGCCCCTAAACAGACGCCTAATAGTCAACCGCCAACCAAGCAGCTATGGGAAGTACAGAATTGATGGGCCCTAGAACACCCACGAGTAAAGTGAATTTATTATTATTGACTGACTGCTTCAGTAGATGGATCGAAAGCGTACCCAATAGGCGCAGAGACAACAAAATTGTTCATACGCTAGAGCGCGAATTTCTTTCATGTTTCGGATACGCGCAGGTAATTTTAAGCAACAACGTCATATCGCTGGTGCCGAAAAAAATTATCGACGCGGTGAATCGTTAGGAAGCAAAAGTTTTGATCAGATCAATTTATCATTCGCCCGCCTACCCGGTGAACATACATAGGAACCAGGAATTAAAGGAAGGAAATAGTGCATTATCAAACGAGTCTAGTCAGTCCTCGTGAGATTTAAAACTGTTCCTGCGATTGTTTACGTTACACAATCGTTGTCGCGAGCAAACTGGATACCTTCAGTCCATACCTGTCCTGAGAAGTAAAGGGAAACACAGCTGAGTGACTCGACTGTTCAACGTGTAGAGCCAGTAGCCACCGACAACATCAACGCCAGCCGTTCAGCGCGCCAGTAGCAAATCACAAAAATCATCACCAGTCAAATGAGTAAAATTATGAAAACAATGGATATCACTGAAATCGAATTTTAACTCA